CAAATTTCCAGAAACTGATCCTAAAGAAGTAGAGTAGTATGATTTACCTGAAGGAGAATTCAAAATAACTGTAATAAAGATGCTCACTGAGGTGAAGAAAAAACAATGAACGAAGTGACAGATGCAACAGAGATAGGAAACATTTCAGGACCAAATGGAAATAATGAAGTTAAATCAATAACATAACTTAAAATATCACTACATGATTTCAACATTAGACTGGATCAAGCAGAAGAAATGATAAGTGAACTCAAAGACAAATAATTAGAAATAACTGAAGTCAGAACAAAAAGAAAAGAGTAAAGAAATCTTAAGGGAATAGGACACCATGAAGGGACAGATATATACATTATGGGATTCCCAGAGGAGGAGTGAAATAAAAGACCAGAAACTTATCCAAAGAAATAATGGATGAAAACTCCCCAAATCTGGGGAGGGTAATGGACATCCAGATCCAAGAAGCTCAAGAAAAGCCAATTAGATGACTCCAAAGAAATTTACATGAAGACACACTATAATCAAATTGTCAAAAGTCAAATACAAAGAGACAGTTTTGAAGGAAGCAAAAAAAAAGTGACTTGTCACATCCGAGTGACAAGACAACCATCAGGTTTTCAGCAGAAACCTTACAGGCCAAAAGGGAATCAGGTGATATTAAGTGTTGAAAGAAAAGAGCAACCAATCAAGAGTACTATACCCAGCAAAGCTGTCCTTCAAAAATGAAGGGGAAATAAAGATTTTCCCAGACAGAGAAAAGCTAAGAGAGTTCATCAGCACTAGGCCTGACTTACTTAAGAAATACTAAAGGGAGTTGTTCAAAATAAAAGGATGCTAAACAGAAATATGACAGCATATAAAAGTATGAAACTCATTGATAAAGATAAAATATAAGCAAATACTGAGTACTGTATTATTGCAATAGTAGTGCAAAAATCACTTTTAATATACCATAAAATTAAAAATAACTGTAACTTTAAAAAAGACCCAATAAGATACACACTATGAATAGATGTAAATTGTGACAATAAAAGTGCATGGCAGGGGGGAATAAGTTAAAATGTAGTTTGTGTATGTGATTGAACTAAAGTTATTGTCACCTTAAAACTGTTACAACTGTTTGACACTTTATGTGAGCCCTAAGATAAATACAAAACAAATACCTATAAAAGATACACAAAAGAAAAAGAGAAAGGTTTCAATAAAACTGTATCAATAAAAAAGTCAACAGAACACAAAGGAAGACAGCAAGAGGGGAAAAGAGAGACAAAAGAACTCCAAGACATAACAGAAAACAATTAATAAAATGGTAGGGTAAAACCCTTCCATATCAATATTTACTCTAAGTATAAATGGAGCAAACTCACTAATCAAAAGACATAAGAGTGGCTCAATAGATAAAATAAACAAAAACACTCAACTATATACGGTCTAAAAGAAACTATTCATAGATGTGGAACTTACCTGATTGTCCACTGATAGATAAAAGGATGAAGAAAATGTGGTTATGCATACAGTGGAATATTTATTCAGCCTTTAATAAGAAGGAAATTCTTCAATATGTGACAACATGGATAAACCTTGAGTACATTATGCCAAGTGAAATAATTGAGTCAAAGAAACACAAGTATTGTATGATTTCACTTACATGAGGTATCTAAAATAGTCAAATTCATAGAAAAAAATTCTAAGAGCAGAATGATGACTGCCTGAGCCTGGACAGGGAGGGGAAATTGGGGAGTTAATAATCAGGAGGCATAATGTTTCAGTTAAACAAGACGAATAAGCTACCGAGATCTGCTATACAACATTGTACATACAGTCAACAACAATGTATAATGTATAATTTTAAAAATTTATTAAGAGAGTTAATCTCCTGTTAAATGTTCTTCTTATAATAAAATAAAATGCTTATAAAAGAGCACTTCTTTAAGGTTCTGTAGTCAAGATTTGAGACTGTATTCCAGTACTTAATAGATATGTGAACTTGGAAAAATAATGATCTTGTCTCAGCTTCAGTTCTTTCATCTGTATAATAGGAATAGTAATAAATAATATGCAGGGCTCTTATGAAAATCAAATTAGTCTACATAGGTAAAGCAATAGCATAGTGCTGTTGCATATTAAATACATCTTCTTATATAAAAATTTTTATGACAAAGTCTTTTTACAGCTCTGCTTCTACTGCTTCCTCTACTTTTCCAACTCTTCACATCATGGAAACATACTCAAGAATATTCCATCTTAAAAAAAAAACCTGCCCCTTAATTTATTTATACTCTTCTCTAGTGCTGTTCTAATTTTGTTTCCTTCACAGCTAAATTATTAAAGGAATTATTTTTATTAAGTAATCTTTTCTCACCTTCCCTAAATTCTCTATGACCCAAATTTTGTTCCCACCACTTCACTGCAACTGCTTTCCCTGTAATATTCTTCCAAGTACCAATTTTGATGGATTCTTTTCATACCTTCTCTAATTTATAAAGCATTTGGCATTATTATCTTTCTAAAAATGCTTTTTCTTGAAATATTCTCCTCTCTTCAATTTCTACAATAAAGTAACTATCATTCTTTCTGATGCTTCAGATCACCATTTTTCTATTCTCCTTTGCTGATTCTTCTTCCTTCCCTAAAATTGATGCTCCCAGATTTCATCACTGTCTCCATGATCTCCTTTGTCCACCTCAGCCACATCTATGAATTTAAGTACCACTGACTTCCAGATCTCTTATTTCATCTTAGAAAATTCTCTGAATTTCATAAATTCATACATTCTTTATTCACTCAATTAATACACATTCAGCATCTACTATGTGTCAGAAATGGGCTAAGAAGAGGTATTGGAAATAGGGCAGTAAATAATACAAACCAAATCCTTGTTCTCATTTTCTTGGATGTTTCATGGGAACTTCAAGTTCAGCATGTCCAAAACTCCCCTACCCTCCTGAAATCTCTTTCTTCTCTTGTATTTTATATCCTAATAAATAATTCCATCCATTTTGCAATCTAAACCAGAAATCTGAGTATAATCCTAAAACTCTTGTCACTTACTTCTCTCATAATCACTGAGGAGTCCACTTTTTAATAATGTTTCAAATCCAGTCCCTCATTTTCTTCCACAAGTACATTTCAGGAGCACCGTGACTCTGCAAATATAAAAATGGGATAATTTTATACCTACATCATGAGGTTGGTGGTAAGATTAAATGAGGTAATAGATTAGGTAGAACAATACCTAGCACATGGTAATTACTAAATAAATATCATCTTTATTAAACAGTAATAATTATTAGCTATTAGAATTGGCATGTGAATCAAAATTTGTTCCCATTCCTGCCTAGGAGAACTAAAGTATCCAAATTGTTTCATCAGAAGTACTGTATGCTATATAAATTAACTTTTTAATAAATAAATAAAATCTGCCTGGATTTCAAAAAGGCTTTTAGTGTGAAGGCTGAACAACAAGATAGGAATGTGTGATACAAACAACGCCACTCTAAGCTTAGCTATTACTCAAATGTTTTACTGGATTATCTATATTTATATATTTTATAAATATTTAGAGAGACTTATATATAAGGTTTAGAATTACACTCATGTCTTCTATTCCAATTAGCAATCTCCTAACTGAACACCAGTATGATGAAGGTCAGATTGTCTTCTTTATTATGGGTTAAGCTGGATTAGAGAACCCAGCTTGGGTGTATGGTCAGATTGGCTCCTAATGCTTCACCACTGAATTGAATTCATCAGCAGGACTCTAGATGCGCCCTACCACCATACTGGGGGATGAGCTTGCCATGGTAAGCTTCACTTATGAAGGCTAGCCAAAGTGAAGACTTAGAAGGCCATGAATGCTTAGCTCTTTTCCTCAATTCACCAATCAGATACTCTCTGTCATTCCTGCTCTCTTGGGGAAGACTAATTAAGCAGACAAAGATTGTTAGAAAATCACTTTTCCTAACTTTGTGCCTAAAGGGAAAGAGAGAAAACAGTTCTTGCTAATATGCCCCATTGATACAAACATATGATCTATGTATTCAGTCCTTCCTGAATGCTGGAAAATTGGAGGGTAAATATTACACTTTTAGATAATAGCTCAAAAGTTAATGCCTCCAAAAACATTATAATTCAAAATAAGTTTAATCGATAAAATTTCTTTCAAATGAAGAAAGGGAGTAATAGCAGGCAAAACAACCCAGAAGCAGGATAATATGAGACATGAGAAATGTGTTACTATTTGAACTAGTAACATAGTATTAGAAATGAATTAACAGGAATAGATAATAAAATAAGTATACTGAAGACTCTTCCAACTCATATGAGAAACACACGTATCTGGGTTGAACCATTAGACCTATGACATATTATTTACCAACCCTAACCTGCTACTTTACCTCTCTTGGTTGACTAGCCTTGTCTCATGAAATGAGAAGAATTTTGTTCGGGTGTTGTGATAGAATACGTCACTTTATACCTGGCTTATGACAACCTCTCAAATTCAAATAGTTTCCTCACTCCCTGAGAAACATATTATTGAAAAATAGAGACTGAAAGAAATGAATTAATTTGTTTTGAATGAGAGGAGCTGACTTAGCTTGCCTTTCCCTCCGGTAAACTGTCTCTTAATACTCTGAAGAATCTGAGCCATAGCTTTAAATTGCATCAATTTTCTTCTTGGCTTCCTGGGAAACTAATATTGGAATGGGTCCTAGGTCCTAAAGTGTCCAAACCAGGAAATCCTGCAAAATTGTCATAAAAATGAATTCTTAAAAAATTTAAAAAATAAATAATAATAATAAATAAAAATGAATTTAAATTATTTGAAAATAAAACAGTCTAAAATCTTCTGCAAGAATTTTAATCATATGTATAATACATGATTATACAGACTATTGTCTGATTTATTTATCTTGAAACTGAACTGCCCCAAATATTTTCTGAAATATACTTGTCAAGTTTATGTATTATGCATATTCATTGCTAATAAATATTTTTTATAGCTTTTATAACTGGGACAGTCATATTGCTGTTTGGAAATCGACTCCCAATTATCAAGTGATTGCTGATAATCCAGAAGGCTTACTTTTCAAATACAAAAGAGACAGAAAAATTCTCAGAGTGGACCCAAAGGTAAATCTGCTTTTACATTTATATATCTTTCCAAATTTTATTGTATTTCTATCATTATTCTACTATCTATTAAATATTTGACATGTTTCAATTTTTAAATCTAGAAATGAAACACTATGTTGAAACATAGAGCATGTATTATTATTAAAGGAAAAACTCCAAAACTTAATAAATAATCACAAATCAATAAGAAAGAGTTTTGGGAGAATTTAAATAGAACTCAAAGTAGGAGCACTTCCCCATCCCTACCAGCAGAATTAGTTAAGGGAGCCAGTGGGCAATGCATTTATTTGCTCTGATCCTGGGGATATCTAGTAACATTTTTGCTCTAAATGGGGAGATGAGTCATTAAGGGGAGGGAAACTCTAACCTCACATATATACCCAGAATTCTAATATCTCTTTTTGTTATGTGGGTAACACTGAGAGTAGTATGGCCTTTAGAGTATTTCTAAGTGTTAAGTTAGAAAGTACATAGTATGTAAAAATCTTAGGACTAGTCCCATGATATTTTGAATTTGTTCAAGGACAAATAAATTTACATCTCATATTTTTAAAGGCTGCATTTACATCATAATTTTTAATCATGACTTAGCATATGTTTGGGAATAAAGGTTAAAACTTACTGAAAGTCATGTGCTTGAGTTGCTTAGGCATTGTTGTTAACTTTTGCAAGATATGATACTCACACGCCAGCATCTGTGTAAAATACAGTCAGAAAAAATAATTCCTTCATGGTGAAAGAAATAGGAATTGTATGATATGCCTGGGATAGAAGTAAAGATGAACCAAAGGTAAAGAGGAGTCTGGTTCTGAAAACTTCTCCAAAACTTTTTATAAATTTTAAATAAAAAATAAAATGATTTTGTTTCATAATATAGTTCCATGCTCATAAAAAGTCTTCAATAACTACATGCTCAAAAAAGAATGAATAAAATTCTGTAGCAAGAAATGGATTATTCTCTGCAATCACATACATCTCCAAATACCAGAAACCCCAACCCAATGACTTCAACAGAATAGAAGTTTCTCTTCCATGTGTTCATCTCATCCCATGTCAGTCCAAAGTTAAAATGGTAGGTCCATAGTCTTCTGAGCCAGGGTGGCCCTCATTCTTATGGCCCAAAATACATTTCCAGCCATAACAACCACATTCCAAACAGAATCCATGTAAGAAGCTCAGAGGTGCAGAGCACATGTCCCCACTGTCTTTTAAGGAAGTTTCCAAAAAGCTACCACATGAACATTCACTTATGGTCCAATGGCAAGGGCTTAGACCCATGCAATACCTAGCTACACGGAAGGCTGGGAAATGTAATCCTTTATTCAGGTGACCATACACTTAGCTGAAATCAGGAGTCCTAGGAAAGGGAGAAGAGAAGTCTGGTAGATAATTAGCAGTTTCTGACAACGTTATTCCTTCAAAAGAATACTATTTTTTTTTAATTCATGTTTCCCACTAGTAAAATAAAGGACTGGACCTGAAAATCACTAGAGCCATATTTATTATGAATTTATGAACACCAGGGAAGCTTATCAGCACATCTTCTCTCTAGTGGTGCCTCTTTATCCCAAATGGGTGTCAAAATGTTATTCAGTTGAGGAAAAGCACAGAAAACTTAATAAACAGCATCGACAGAGTCTTTTCCTCTTAGAAGGCTAAACTATGTACAAGAAAAATATAAAATTATTAATAGCTTCATTAAATTATGGGAACCAAATTTTTTTTATCAGTTTTGAATGACATCACACAAACTGTTTTAGGGCTGTATTTTGATTATAATTCAAGACATATGATGAGTCTGAAGGAAAGTTATTTGCAATTCCTGGAGGGAAAAGAAATATTTTGTTAATTAGTGATGAGTAGATTATTGGCTGGAACACCTGATACTATCTGGATACATATATATCTTTGAATATTAATTTAATTTTATCTTTTGAAAATAAAAATTAATAGCTGATTCACTGGAAAAGAATGCTGGTCTGAGCATCAATAAGTGAAATTATTAGTCTTACTTTGCTATTAACTGGTTGCATAGCCTTGAGAAATTCTCTTTAACCTCCCTGCACTTTAATGTTCATAACTGAAAGATGAGGATGCTGTTGTTGTCATTGTTGTTTCCTGATCTTGAGGGTCTCTCTGCAGCCCTAATTCATAGAGATTCTGACTCAGCTGGGTCAACAACTACATATTTTCATAGGCAACCAGTGTGTTTCTGCTCCTATGAACTGCAATTTGAGAAAAATTTCTCCAGAAAAAAGACAATAATCTCAAGAGATAGGGCACTTTTGCCCAAACATAAGTGTTTTCAACCTTTTGTTCTCAAAATATACCACATATATTTTCATTTTTATAGACTAGATATAAAATTAGAATGTACATTTCCTATATAATTTCTTATTCAGCTTCTTCAAAAAGCCATGATCCTTTTATATTTCACTGCATACACATAACATCTCTGAGAGACATACAGGAGAATCAGGAAATAAGCTAAAATGTCAGGTTTTTAAAACCAGAAATGCACAATGATAAGAATTACATGTTTATACTCAATATTTTTCTTAATAATTTTCCTTTAAATTCTTCCTAAGAATTTCCTAAGAATACACCTTCCTATAAAATAGTTAAGGTGCTTTAAAATATTGTAAAAATGCAACTCAAGTCTCCTTTTCCTTTCCTTCAAGTACTCTCTTTGAAATATTTTAGGTTTAAAATTAAGGAGGTCAAGATAAATGAAAGGTAGAGACAGTGATAAACAGGGCATGTTTCCTTTGTACAACACAGATGTAGACTTAATTCAGAACCATCATACTCGATATATATTTGATACAGTTCCAATGAAACAGTTGTTTGCGAATGGTTAACAGTGGAAAAATGAAAATTATGCAGGTCTTAGTACAAATAATATGAGTTCATTGGTTAAGAAATTCCAAATGCAATAAGAGTTTGGTTGCATTGAAAACAGGACCACTGGCTTTAACTTCCCTGCAGCTGTTCAACATCTGGAACAAATAAGGCAAGTTTCTATTTTTGAGTGAAGAATGCTTGTCTGAGTGATTCACACCCACTAAAATGTTTCCAGTGTATTGTATTATCTTTAGAAGGATTGAGTGGAAGCACTTTGTACCCATTCCCCTCAATTATTTGGACAAATGTGAAAAAAATAGTCATATTTATTTTGCTTTTAAGAAATATTAGCAATGAGAAAGTTTGCTTTGAATCTTAACATAATTTGAGTGGTCTAAAACCTTCATGATCTACTAATGAGAGAGAGATTGTATAGAATAGTGAAAACAAAAAAATCTTCCTTACACCTTCTTCTCTCCTCTCCCCTCTTCCATTTACTAAATGTGAGCTCCTGTCGCCAGGAAAATTGCCTGGCTAATGAATACTCAGTAAATATTCATGGAACAAATGATTCAGCGATTCCCTCCACACAAAAATAATGCTACACTAATTAAAACTAAAGAAGTAGATTATACTGATAAGTATACTGATACTTGATACAGTAGCGATAGCCAGAAAAGATACACCACCCGTATTCTATTGATCTAAATAAGTAAAAAAAAAAAAAGGAATTGCAGGAATTTATCACTGGACATAGCTAGCACAGCCATAATTTTAGGTTTTGTAGAGGTTATGCAGAAATCTTATTTTAGTATGTGCTTTCTAGTCTTCTTGTGCAGTCCCAGGAATATGTAATTTAAACCATTTCAAATTAAGACCATTGAATTAAAACATGTTTTTGATTTATGAACAAATTGATTCAAACAGGTTAAAGGATTTACTCAAGGTCACAGTTCATAATTTGTAGACCTGGTGGTGGTGCTTAACATATGAGACACCCGAAGGATATAAAGATGAGCAAGAGTTCAACCCTTGCCCTTTAAGTGTTTATAGTATTTTTAAAGAAACAGGTATGTAAAAATCATAACTTCAGTATAAGGCAGAAAGTGATATGTTGCAAAAGACACAAATGCTTTGAAAACTGAGTGGAAGAAGAGACAACTTTTGATCTGGTGCAGGAACCAGTGGAGAGGATATGGTGAAGGGATAGTATTGGGGATAATTAGGTGGTAATGGAAGACATAATCTTTTAATTGGGCTTAAAGAATTACTAAGAATTGAACTCATAGAGATAGAGAGGTAGGCAGCACCAGGAATGAAACCTGTTAGCAAAGATAAAGTTGATGAGTGTAAAACAGACAAAGGGAAACCTAAATAGTTCAATTTGGCTGCGGTAATGGCTTACAGAAGGAGTGGTGTGGGAATTAAGTGTGGAAAGGTCATGAAAAACTTTGAGTGCATAACTGAGAGAATCTTGGACTGGACTTGATAGGAAAAATGGAAGTATGCAAAGGATGAAAAGCTATGTTTTAAAATAATTAGAGAATGTAGGTTAGGACAGACTAAGTTGGAAAAACTGGAACATAACAGATGAGAATGTAACAGTCCAGGTGAAGAGCAAAGAGGACTAGAACTGGGGATCTTGCTGTAGTTAGCAAGTATCTGAGCTGATGTTTTTAATATTGCAACTAAAACTTAAAGAATGCGTATCTAGAAAAAGTGGATGAGCTATCTCACTTCACCCCAACCCTCAGGAAACAAGAGAGAGAGAATGGACTGGTGCTGGATGTATCCAGAGAAGAGGTGAGCTGGTTGATGTCAGTAAGTCTGTTGCCTCTTCATTTTTCCTCCAATCCTCCTCTTCCTTATGTGATGTTTCCTGAGTAACTATTGGGTACTGTGAGGTACAAAAGCTGCATCATAAAGGTGGGTTTCTTGCCCTAAAAAACTTACAAATTAGTTGGTGGGTGGCTGGAAAAATATAACACGAACAGAAAAGCAAGCTAGAAAGTGACCTGAGATGACAGGAAAAGCTCTGCCATAATTCAGAGGAGGCAGAATTTACTTTGAACCTTTGCTTCAAAAACAAGTTAATAAAATAGATGGCATCTGCACTGGATCTTGAAGGACGGGTGTGATAAGAACATGAGGACTGGAGCAGAAGGGGTAGGAAGGAACCTCACAAGTGAAGGTGTGTCAGCACAGAGCATGGAGCTCCACAGGAAGAAAGAGGCCCTCCTTTTGGACAGAGAGGAGTTTTCAGCATGAGCCAGATGTCAAAATCACCCATGAAGCTTCAGAATCCATGATGCCTGGCCTCACCCCCAAAGACTCCAGTTTAATTGGTCTGGTTGGAAGGCCTGGGCATCTGTATTTTTCAAAAGCTCCCCAGGTGATTCTCATGTGCCTCCAGGGTTGAGACCAACATGCAGGAAGAAGAGTAATAGCAGGGAAGTTTGGAGAGAAAACTGAACTCCAACCATGGAAGCCAAATCTAATGGGTTTTTTCCATCCTACTCAGTTCAATGAGAATATGTACGATTTATGTCATGACTTAGAATCAGAATTTCTGAGTATCAAAATCATTAAGCCATTTTGAAAAAAGGTGATGCTATTTTTCAATTGGCTAAGCTTTATGGTGCAAAAAAGAAAATCAATTGTGTGAAAAACATGAAATTCTTTAGGACAGAGTCTCCTTTTGGTTGCTTTGTGTAGTATCTAATAAAGTACACCTTTAAGATAGTTCCTTGATAAATGACTGAAAACAGAACAAGCCAAAAGCAAAAAAATAGTTTAAAAATCTTAGAGATGTGTGATTTCTATGAAGTGTAGGGAATTGGTGAAACAAAAGACACTGCTATAGATTAAACCTTTCTGGAGCCATCCAGAGTGTCACAGACATTGGAAGGCATGTGCAATGCAAAATATGCATTGACATAGCAAGATGTATTTATTTTCTTTTTACCTATCAATACCCCTCACTACAGGTAGCCCCTTAATCCAGACTTGTGTTTTTTGAAAATCATGATCGTTCAAACACAAAAATGTGCTACTTAGAAATGCAACTGTTACCACAAGAGGTCTCCATCAACTTCCAGCCCACCAGGGCTTGCCTAGGAGCAGTACTGTCAATTCAGTAAAGTATTTCCCCTTCTTCTCACACTGGCCAGTCAGGAGAACCCTAGGCTCCACCAACAGAGATTCAGATTGAATTGGTCTGCGGCAAGGTCCAGGAATCTGTATTTTTAAATGTCTTCCCGGGTGATCCTAAAGATTAGCTGAATTTGATATCCACTGCTTTGCACAGTAGTATTTTAGTAGCTGTTGTTTCACTTAATTGTATGTCCACAAAAAAGTCAAACTTCATTTCTCTAAAACAAATTTTAATTCAACGGTCTTAATTTTAAGCCTAATTACATATTCCAGAGATGCACAAGCAGACCAAAAAGCACAGATCATATACCAAAGACTTCTGGATAATCGTCTCTTTAGTAATACCACTGATGGTACTTGATGCTTTCACTGATAAATTGCTACTATTTCTTCTTACTTATCTGGATGACTATAGAGTGGGTGTGGCAGTATCCATTTTTGTTATCACTGCCTCATCAAGAAGCACTTTGTGAGATAGGCTTTCCAGAGGCTCAAATGAAACAATACATGTGACAGAGACTTGTAAAACAAACTGAAACAGGGCGAGGACCCTTTCTGTTCATTTTACCATTCTATCTCCAATGCTAGTATAGGTTAGGTACTCAGTAAACATCTGTGGAATGAATAAATTGAATATTAAATAGTGCTAAAGAACTGAATTGTAGGGCCAAAAATAATCCTGGAAACTTTTGAGGTTAACTTTAAAATATCTTAGGATCTTTGGCACCAGGAACATATGTAGAGCTAATGCTATTTTTAGCTGAAAATTACCAGAGTAATTGACTCTGGTGCTTTTCTCTCCTTGGTAGGTGAATTCACCCTGGGGGTTCTTTGCTGAAATTGGGAGCACTGATCCTGAGTGTGCAGGACAATGGCGTTGATCTGTTAGGTCCATGGGTGAATGAGAAAAGCAATTATTTTATTCTTTAAAATAAATGTGTAGTCATTATTACATATTATACAGATGCCAAAAAATGCCAAATTTGCCTTTTTCTATTCCAGTTTAATTGGTCTGGTTGGAAGGCCTGGGCATCTGTATTTTTCAAAAGCTCCCCAGGTGATTCTCATGTGCCTCCAGGGTTGAGACCAACATGCAGGAAGAAGAGTAATAGCAGGGAAGTTTGGAGAGAAAACTGAACTCCAACCATGGAAGCCAAATCTAATGGGTTTTTTCCATCCTACTCAGTTCAATGAGAATATGTACGATTTATGTCATGACTTAGAATCAGAATTTCTGAGTATCAAAATCATTAAGCCATTTTGAAAAAAGGTGATGCTATTTTTCAATTGGCTAAGCTTTATGGTGCAAAAAAGAAAATCAATTGTGTGAAAAACATGAAATTCTTTAGGACAGAGTCTCCTTTTGGTTGCTTTGTGTAGTATCTAATAAAGTACACCTTTAAGATAGTTCCTTGATAAATGACTGAAAACAGAACAAGCCAAAAGCAAAAAAATAGTTTAAAAATCTTAGAGATGTGTGATTTCTATGAAGTGTAGGGAATTGGTGAAACAAAAGACACTGCTATAGATTAAACCTTTCTGGAGCCATCCAGAGTGTCACAGACATTGGAAGGCATGTGCAATGCAAAATATGCATTGACATAGCAAGATGTATTTATTTTCTTTTTACCTATCAATACCCCTCACTACAGGTAGCCCCTTAATCCAGACTTGTGTTTTTTGAAAATCATGATCGTTCAAACACAAAAATGTGCTACTTAGAAATGCAACTGTTACCACAAGAGGTCTCCATCAACTTCCAGCCCACCAGGGCTTGCCTAGGAGCAGTACTGTCAATTCAGTAAAGTATTTCCCCTTCTTCTCACACTGGCCAGTCAGGAGAACCCTAGGCTCCACCAACAGAGATTCAGATTGAATTGGTCTGCGGCAAGGTCCAGGAATCTGTATTTTTAAATGTCTTCCCGGGTGATCCTAAAGATTAGCTGAATTTGATATCCACTGCTTTGCACAGTAGTATTTTAGTAGCTGTTGTTTCACTTAATTGTATGTCCACAAAAAAGTCAAACTTCATTTCTCTAAAACAAATTTTAATTCAACGGTCTTAATTTTAAGCCTAATTACATATTCCAGAGATGCACAAGCAGACCAAAAAGCACAGATCATATACCAAAGACTTCTGGATAATCGTCTCTTTAGTAATACCACTGATGGTACTTGATGCTTTCACTGATAAATTGCTACTATTTCTTCTTACTTATCTGGATGACTATAGAGTGGGTGTGGCAGTATCCATTTTTGTTATCACTGCCTCATCAAGAAGCACTTTGTGAGATAGGCTTTCCAGAGGCTCAAATGAAACAATACATGTGACAGAGACTTGTAAAACAAACTGAAACAGGGCGAGGACCCTTTCTGTTCATTTTACCATTCTATCTCCAATGCTAGTATAGGTTAGGTACTCAGTAAACATCTGTGGAATGAATAAATTGAATATTAAATAGTGCTAAAGAACTGAATTGTAGGGCCAAAAATAATCCTGGAAACTTTTGAGGTTAACTTTAAAATATCTTAGGATCTTTGGCACCAGGAACATATGTAGAGCTAATGCTATTTTTAGCTGAAAATTACCAGAGTAATTGACTCTGGTGCTTTTCTCTCCTTGGTAGGTGAATTCACCCTGGGGGTTCTTTGCTGAAATTGGGAGCACTGACCCTGAGTGTGCAGGACAATGGCATTGATCTGTTAGGTCCATGGGTGAATGAGAAAAGCAATTATTTTATTCTTTAAAATAAATGTGTAGTCATTATTACATATTATACAGATGCCAAAAAATGCCAAATTTGCCTTTTTCTATGAGTAAAAGAATACCATGAACAAGGTTGAAAATTTAAAGGACTTCTACCAATAAAAACACATTTTTGTTGTTTTTTGTTTGCTTGCTTTTTAATTTAGAGGGCGCTCCTCCCTTCTCTTCTGTTCCTCCCAAGCAAACTCCACTCAAGCACTTGCTATGTTTGTAGGAAAGGTGCTGATTGCCTTCTTAATGTTGCCTCCCAGTTCACTGACTAAATTAAAATCAAAAAGAACCTATCAGAAGCTTGAAATCATTCTTCTCAAAATGAAGGCCCATAAATAACATTCCTACCATCCTTTCTCCAGACATTTCAAATTCAATCTCGTGAAGTGCCACCCTCTCAGTGAAGGTCCTCAACTTTACCATCTTTTTACAGGGCCAGGTATATTTCGCTTGGACACCTAAGAAAAAAACTCCATAATGATAGACTAAATTTAAGCAAGGCTATAGTTTCCTCAGTTTTCAACAGTGTTCCTCACACTCCGCACAAACTGAATTAATGGGCCAGGGGACACTTACTGAATCACAAACACCACTTCTTTGGTTCTTAGATTTTCCTCACAGGCCTAGTGTAAACGTTGCTTTTTAACTGTGGCAAGATCACAGTTATTAAGTGAAGATAAGACCTTGCCAACTTTCTGGTTTTGCTGCCCAAATTACTGACTGTTTGGCTAATTATAGCCCTAAAACACCCACATACTAAGGAGCTTTAAACATTTTCTCCCCTGGGCAATCACCTGATACACCTGAACTAAAAGTCCACCACATATAAATTAAGTATTTACTCAACTGAGTTAAAGTCAATGGCCTTAAGCACTACATTAAAATTACATTA